TGCACAAATTTACCGTTTCAGTAGAAATCACATGCATTTGGCATTAATCGCCATTTTCCACAGCAGTGTTTACAGTGAATATAGAATGTATTTTATTTGAGGAAGTCTATGGTTTCAGGAGCCTACAAGTTAAAAAAAAAATCAATTCTGTCGCCTAAATGCATCTCAGTCTGTCAACAATTTTTTGGTCTTAAGTTGTACATTACAATTCAATGTTTACAGCAAATTTTTCTGTATTTCTTGAAATATTTAAGAAATAATTTAGAAGGTACAATAGATAATCATCATCATATTACACAACTGCCACACCCCAAAATGATATCCATTTTCAGGTAATAACACAATCAGGGAGCTGTTGCTCCTTCCAGCACTAATTTACAAGAATTACCTTCTTGAGCAAGCAACCATGCAATAACACCAGTACTGTTGAGGGCTGGGAAAAACGCTTTCACAAATTTAAAACCAAGGTTTGATTTGCAAAGAAATCAGCAATAATGTTTTGGTTTATTTTTAGAATCAATGCTCTTAAATATGCAAAATCGCTGGTTATTTAGAAGTACACAGACAGATTTAAAAGGCTTTTTTAGAATATATTTATTAAACAGATCTGTAATACACTGACAGAAAATAAAATTTCACTATTGCTGGGGAGTCAATCATACAACAAGCAATGTGCTCCCTAGCTAAATATACTCAATTCCCACTGTATTGGAGGCTAACCTTATTAAATGGGTAGAATGTGAATTAACAGCATCCTCAGAGAGCCTGACAAGTGCTACATTGCTAACATCCTATTGCTGAGACAATTTTGCCGCCACATAACTGCATTGGTCATCGGAATGAGGCACACAAAAATACAAAATTACAAACTCGTTGAAAAGCACACACAGATATACAGTAAGGCCAAAAGAAAACATACAGACACAAGAAAGATGCACACAGGACCTCTCATCTGAGCATGTGGGATTGTCACCTTACTGCCTGACATTCCTGCTTCAGGGTGCCAGCAAGGCCTGCAGTTAGAAGGGCAATGCTGGTGGCAAGGGGGTGGGGGGGAAAGAGATGCGAGGGTGGACAGAGGGCAGAATCAGAAATTTGTCGTGTCACATGGTCAAACAGGGAAGATTTACGACAGATCAGGTTCCTCATCAGCAGCATAGTGTTGTGGCTTTAGAATGACAGGTATGGGAGTGAGATCAGACTCCGGCTTTAGTTTGTACACCCTTTCTGGCAACTGCAGCCAGTGTGACTGGCTCAAGATGGCAGTGTTGCGGATGGTAGGCATGAGTAATGCAACAGTCTTTCCTTGTGCTCGGTTTAACATCGTTCTCAGTGTTTACACGTGAATCTGAAAATGCAGACGTGCCAAATTCATAAAGAGTACATGCAGAGACTGACACAAACTTAGATAAATTAGGTCGAAAAACAACAAGACAAACTTTCAAGAGAAATTCTTGAAAAAAAAAATCTCGTGCAAACATGCAAAACAGAGATTAGCAGTTATTTAATCATTTTATGTCTCTCTCTTCCTACTCTCAGAAGCTATGATTTACTCACCGGTGACATCATGGAGACCACAGCTATTTTTATTGGCTGGTAAGCAGCCAGCTCTTTGCCATGCTATGCCACCTGTCCAATCCACAGCAGTCAACAAGCCCCAGGGAAAAAAAGTCAAGCACCCAAAAATGATTGAGAGATGAAAGGTGGAATATGAGACATGCATGCCATTCTACTGTCCTAGGCATGTTTCACAAGTCAAATGTCTTGTCACTGCTACTGGTTTGTCATCCCTATTTGCATTTGTTCTTCGTTAAGTCTGCTATATTTTCCATTCTTCAACACTTATCTGCGTTACTTCATCTCTGGAGTAATGGCTTTTACGCTGCTCTTGGACCATCGCTGACATTGTCTGAGCTGCAAAGATGGGGTTATTCCTGGCCCTGTATCGTGCCTTCTTAGGTGCAATTTAGTCACATGCCACGTACAGTAGATTGGGGTGGAGGGGGTCACCATTTCACTCAAGTGCCCTGCATGATGTTAACTATTACAAACTAAATATTACAGAGGCTAGAAGCTGGTGACATAAATGACTGTATATAATACCACATGTTTTGGAAGATTACAGTTTGTTAAAATATATTAAAAGTTGGTCTTGAGATGAAAATGACTCTGGGTCTTTGAATGAGTGGGTGTATTCTTAATAAGTTTATAAAGGATGACTTACAAGCTGAGGCAATATCAATATAGACACATTTGTAATTAGTGTCACTGAGTCTTGCATGGTCAAAATCAAACACATGATAAACACATAAAGAAAAAGTTAACTTCAAGAAAAGGATCTTCTTGTGAAATGCTTTTTATACTCGTGTAAGTGAGCAGAGTTCCTTTATAATGGAACTCATGGGAAAATAAGTGGAGGATCATTTGTGATAATTGGATTTCTTGGCCTTGCCACACACAAGAAAAAAAAAAACAACTTGATTTTAAAAGTTAAATTGAAAATTCAGGATTGTGTCTAGGTGTCCATCTTGTGGAAAGAGCATGAAATAGCAAGTACTAGTGTTGGAGTATTATCCTCTGAAACAACACTAGTGGGTGATAAAGACCTAGAAAACTAAATAGTGTCTGCAAATGATGGACAACTGGATGATTTGGTTTTTGTCAGAGGAAATCAAAGTTTTGGTTTATTTAGGGAAGTTCCAAAGAGTTTCAGCTGTCTTTGCATGCCCCAAAAAATACATTCACACAGTACTCAGTACTCACAAAGTACATTCATTCATTCAGAGGCTCAGCTTACAACCAGGCAAACTAGGCAATCGCTAAGTGCCCAGGGGTCTGTGCGTCCCCAAGGACCGACAAACTTTAAAATACAGTAGTAGCAGTATGCAAAGTTTGCAATGACAATAGTGGAGCCACACTTGACTCCACTCACGCTGTTCCAAGTAGCCTGTGTGATTCAGATTACCACAAATCAATAAAACAGCAGTGTAGTTTTGTAGCGACGAAAGAAAAACAGCAGTGAGTGCAGCAGATAGCAACAATTACATACAGTCCCGATCCAAAGTTTAAGATCACATGAAAAATGGCAAAATGGCATTGTGTACTGTAGCGTTGTTCAGTTGAAAAACCCAGTCGTTACCACACAGACAAGGGTCCTCAGTCATGAGGGATGCTCTCTGCAACATCTGGACATAGCCAGCAGCCGTTTGACACCCCTGCACCTCCTGAAGCGCCATTGTTCCACTGAAGGAAAAAGCACCCCAGACCATTATGGCACCCTCTCCACTGTGCCGCGTAGAAAACATCTCAGGTGGGATCTGCAACGTTGGAAACCATCAAGGTTAAATTTTTCTCATCAGAGAATAAAACTTTCTTCCACTTTCAATGTCACATGTTTGGTGTTCTCTTGCAAAGTCCAAACAGTCAGTTTTGTGGCTTTCAAGGAGATGAGCCCTTTGAAGACATTTTTTTGTTTTTGAAGCTCTTCAGTCTCTGATGTCTGATGGTTATGGAGCTGCAGTCGGCACCAGTAACAGCCTTGATTTGGGTTGAGAATCATTCAGTGTCTTGACAGACAGGCAACTGGATCCTCCAGCTGAGTGTTGGTGAAATTTTTGGGGGTCTTCCACTTGACGTTTTTGTTCCCTAACTCTCAGGATCATTTAAGAAATTCCAAATGTCTTACTGCATCCCACCTCAGCAGCAATGGCGCACGGCGAGAGATCCTGTTTATGCAGTTCAACAACCCAACCAAAAAGGGAGAGGTTTTTTTTGCCTTTGCCATCAGAAAGTCATGACAGGGTGACTATCTGACAGAAAATGACAATGAATCCACATTTTTTGCACAGATTTAGCCTTTAAAGGCATGTGGTCTTAAACTTTTGATCAGCTGTAAAACAGCCTGTTTCAGTTTAAGCGCTGTTTTCAATAAACTGCATGCTAAAAAAAACATGTTTTTTCTCTCTTTTTTCACTCCCATTTCTTCTTGTTGCAAGTTGAAGCTCTACTTGGAACCTTTTTATAAGATCCAATCAAGTAAAATGTGATTTTTTGCCATTTTTTAAGTGGTCTTAAATTTTTGATTGGTACTGTACAATATTAAATAACTAAACTGCTGCCAGATTAGCCTTAACTTTTGGGTGAGAAATACTTGCTACCCACTAACGTCACAGTATTTATTTTAGTCTCTTTGACATTTAATATTATTTAGCTAAGCTAGCAGAGCAGCCAAGGGTGTCCAGCTGTGGTGGCTGTGACAGTGAGTGCGAAATTTCTTTTAATGATGTCAGATTTTTTTAAACCATAATTTTAATGAATGGTGGTTGAAGGGGCCACCTGTGAATTTTTGCCTAAGGCCACTATAGACTCTAGAATCGGCACTGCATTCATTCATACCTCCAACCTGTACAATCACAGACTTCACAAGCTTGTAGCTCACACAGCAGCTCCCCTGGGGCAGGCTGGGGGCTTCTCTGAAGAAACACGTAATTTTGCAACCTACAACATTCACTCTGGGGCAACCTTCTGCTCTACTGATTTGGAAAGCAGTGCAAAAACAGCATGAAAATGATTTAAAGGTGCAACTGTTTCAGCAGTGAATTTTGAAAATAAATTCCTGGGTAAGTAACAGTTATATAACAGATTAGTTTTTAGGATTTTTAGATTAGAAATCCTGATTTCCTGATGTGGTTTTGTTTATCAGAATCAGAATCAGAGAGACTTGATCAATCCCAGAGGAAAATTGTTGTCATAGCACCACACATTCAGCAACCATCAAGCACATATATATGAAACATAAATAACATATTTATGTTATATTGTATATTGTTATGTTGTATTCTACATCCTACAGTGGTTTTATAAGAAATTTATATCTCAAATATCTTTCAGATGTTGATGTTTTATAATGAAAATAATAGCCTCTAACATCACCCTGGCTCCTCCACACCAATGGGGGGCGCACGTTTTTTGTAAATAAATACCATCGTGGGTTGACGAGGGCCGCCCAGCCATGTTGAGGAGTCTGTCAAGCAAACTGCAGCCCGCCATTGTGTAGAACCAGGCTCTGTAGAGAGATAAGGGTGCTTGGCTGAAACGCTTCAATAGCTTGATAATTATTTTACCCTGCCGCTTTTATTTAGGAGTAAATACAGTTACACAGGCTCCGGGGGGGGAAAGACATGTCAGCCAGCAGTCTTCTTGAACAGGTAAAGAGAGGTATTTTCTGAACATTTACGGGGGCCAAATTTCTCAGCATCGCGACGGGCTAGCGAGGATAGCTTAGCTCAGAGGCAGCGGCTCCGTAGTGCAGTAGGCCTGACCACCTGCTAAAGGAACTGACTGCTGAAAATATATCTCTTCATCTATTTTTTCCCCTTCCTCTCTTCTCATAAATCAAACCTTCATGAATCACCTGGACCCAATCCAGAGACCGAAAGGCCAAGCTAATAAAGGTAAGACCAAATATTATCTAACATTGTCGACTTGGGGTTGAGAGAGTGCGAATCTTTTTATGTACCTTTCGCTTTAGAAAATCTTGCGTGCGCGAACGCGATAGCTGGCTTCCTAGCTGCTCGGGTAGAATGGGCCTCTGTGTACACGATTTAAAGGTTTTCATATAATTTATCACTTGAGTGAAACGCCTAATGATACTGTGTTTCAGGTTGGGATTTTTCAGGCTTTAAACAAAGCAATTTTAAGTGTCCTTTACATCCCAGAAATCGCACAGGTTCCCACAGGTAGCTTCAGGCTAGCTGTCTCCAGAGTGGCTAACTTTAAATGGCAGCATGATACACATGAGCATCCTTTTCCTGGTTCTACTTTTAATGCCTTTTATCACCCATAGTTGCGTGGAAAACACCTTACTGCTCAGTGTCTTTAATTATCAGACATTATGAAATTTCTTTTGCAATATTAGGGCTACAGGTGCCACCCTATAGCACGCTGGCGACCTGGCTAATGTTAGCCAACTCCGTCAAGTTGAAAGGACTCTTGGCGCTCGTTAACATGGAGACGCTAGCGTGCTAATGTTAGCTGGTTGCTAGGTTAACCAAAATGACACGTCTTCCGACATGCTTTTCCTGTGTCAGAAAGGCCCTCGCGCTTTCCCATCATTATGCTGTCAGTCTATAATGTTGAATAAACACATTGAACAAATAATTTTTATTTTAATTCTCTGTCCCTTTCTCCGAAAAGCTCTGACAATCTCGTGTTTTCCAGCACATGAACATCACCTGTAACAGAGAGCGCTCTTTAACTCGCGGGGGGCGGGGGGGGCTCGCTCACACGCACTACTCATCTACCTGCATTTTAACATGCATTTTTTTTTTCTCTCGAAGTGATGTCAGTATTGGTTTTATCTATTATTTTAATGTGTCTATTGCTGTGGGAATCTAAATTTCTTTAGTGCTCTTTTATGCCAGTATTTGACTACTTCCAAGTCCATTTAATTTTTCCTGGGCCTGATTCAAATAATTGAGCATACTATGTAATCTGAAGCATACTGAGCAATTATTGCTTTTTTCCCCCTTGTTCTAATTTCAGGGAGTGGTTTTGTTATGTAACGAGTGGCGTTGGTGCTGATGTTAATTGCCTGATAATGTCTAACCCATTGCACCTCTGGGGTTGCACAGGCCTGTTAACACAAGTGTTGTTTCATTTACAGTGCAAAACGGAGCTGTGACCCAAAAGGATACTTTGAATGACGATGAATTTGAGCCTTACCTGAATACTCAGGCCAGACAGGTAAATGTTTTCCCAGTGTGTGAGGTTTTTGTTTTGTTGGGTTTTTTTGTTTTGTTTTTTTAAATCTGAATCTTTCCCCTTTTTTATTTTTTTTTTTAAAGTAGTCTGTTACTGGCTTATCCTTAAATGTTCTTAGTTGAACACGAATCTTTTTTGTTTTATTGCACTAAAATTCAGATAAATCTGACAAGGGTCAACTGAAATTCTGGTTTAAGGAAGTTAAAATGGTGATGTAGAGATCAGCTGATATTCTCTAGCTTGCATCCACGACAAGTTTCATGACCGTGCATATATGAATAAATATATCCTAGTTACTGTAATCTTAGCACATCTGTTAAACCCAATTTCAGCCATATTATTAATTGTAAGTGAAACTATAAAAAAAGGTTTACTTTGCACATTTTTGTGTTTTGATTACAAAGAATATTAATGTGCATCTCTTTATTCACCTTTTTTATTGCTTTAATTTTTGTTAAATGTGGTTGTTCCCTGTGCAGTAACTAACACACGTACACATGCACTGTGAAGTGGGCTGTAGAGGAAAATAATAGAGCCTGTCTTTTGGTCAACTCAGAAGAATAGCTGTCCTTATCTTCTTCCAAGACACTCTAAATGGTGGTGGGGGAACAGTTCATTGTTTAGTTCTGTTTATTTATAGATGAGTTTAAAGGAGGAATAGTGAGAGGATTGTTTACATTGTTGTCACAATCGGTGGTGAGCAGTGACAGTTCAATTACTTTACTTATTTTTACTGTGGTTTCACTCCCTGGATGAAGAACAAGTTGCGCTCATGTTAAGAGGAGTGTTCAGCTGTTAATGTTACAAAATATGTTGCTTTAATAATTAAATGCTAGGGTGCTTTTCCACAAATTTTTTTATTTATTTATTTTTATTTATTTATTTTTCCCCATGTTGTCACTAAATCACATTTTTCTATTCCATTTAGAGCAATGCCTATACGGCCATGTCGGACTCGTACATGCCCAGCTACTACAGCCCCTCCATAGGATTTTCCTACTCCCTGAATGAGGCAGCATGGTCCACAGGTGGGGATCCTCCTATGCCTTACCTGGCCTCCTATGGACAGCTGAGCAATGGGGAACCCCACTACCTCCCGGACGCTATGTTTGGCCAACCAGGCCCCCTGGGGAGCAACCCATTTCTAGGTCAGCATGGCTTCAACTTTTTCCCCAGTGGCATCGACTTCTCAGCATGGGGTAACAACAGCTCTCAGGGACAGTCGGGGACACCGCAGAGCTCTGGCTACAGCAGCAGCTACGCCTATGCTCCCAGCTCACTTGGAGGTGCCATGATTGATGGACAGTCCCCATTTGCACCTGCTGCCAACGAGCCCCTTAACAAGGCACCTGGTATGAACAGCCTGGACCAGGGCATGGCGGGACTTAAGATAGGTGGTGCTGCTCCTGGTGGTACCGGGGACTTGGCGCCTAAAGTAGTTGGCTCTGGATTACCCGGTGGGGGTCCACTAGGCCCTGTATCATCTGTTGGACCTCCCAGCATGCCTCCTGTCTCAATTGCCCCTGCCAAGCCTGCCTCTTGGGCTGATATTGCCAGCAAACCAGCCAAACCCCAGCCCAAGCTTAAAACTAAGGGTGGCATGGCTGGTGCTAATTTGCCTCCTCCGCCCATTAAACACAACATGGACATTGGCACTTGGGACAACAAGGGCACAATGCCTAAAGCCACCACTCCTCAGCAGGTGCCCCCTATTCCCAGCAACGGGCAGCCGCCCAATCAGGCTTCCCCGCAGCCTGGAAGTACTGCTGTGGGGAATCCACAAATGCCCCTGAGCAATGGACAACTGGTTCCACCTGTTTCCCAGATGGGTCAGCATCAGCTTCCACCCACTGGGCAGCCAGGTATGGGTCAGATGCCCCAGCCTCCTCTCTCCCAGGGTGGTCCTCCTCCACCAAGCCAACAGCAACAACAATCTCAACCTACCCGCTGGGTCCCACCACGGAATAGGGCCAATGGATTTGGGGATACGAGTGGGAGTGGTACAGGCCAGTCACCTCCCTCTTCTTCAGGAGTGGGTGTGGTTCCAGGGGTCCCTTCGGAGCCTCACCCAGTTTTAGAGAAGTTGCGTATGGTCAACAACTATAACCCGAAGGACTTTGACTGGAATCCCAAGCAGGGCAGGGTGTTTATCATCAAGAGCTACTCCGAGGATGACATCCACCGCTCCATCAAGTATAACATCTGGTGCAGCACGGAGCATGGCAACAAGAGGCTTGATGCAGCTTACCGTTCACTGGGTGGTAAAGGACCACTTTATCTTCTGTTCAGTGTCAATGGGAGCGGTCACTTCTGTGGTGTAGCAGAAATGCGCTCACCCGTGGACTACAACACGTCTGCTGGCGTGTGGTCGCAGGACAAGTGGAAGGGTCGTTTTGATGTGCGCTGGATCTTTGTTAAGGACGTTCCCAACAGTCAACTGAGGCACATTCGACTGGAGAACAACGAAAATAAGCCAGTGACCAACTCTCGGGACACACAGGAGGTGCCACTGGACAAGGCCAGGCAGGTGCTAAAGATCATCGCTGGATATAAACACACCACTTCCATCTTCGATGACTTTTCTCACTACGAGAAGCGTCAGGAAGAAGAAGAGTGTGTGAAAAAGGTAACAAAGTCACTGTTGAATAAAGTGAATGACATAACAAATGAATGAAAAACAAGTGTGATCTTCAAAAAAGGTGGAGTGTTTGAAGCCTGTGTATGTGTGTTTGTACAACATTGATGTTATGCATTACAAAGAAACGGTACAATACAACCCTTTACAGATGGGCTGAGAGCTGATTTTCATGTGCTTATATGGATTAGAACAATTTGTCATCTTTTTTTCCTTTAGCTTTTATGTTCTACCTGTTAACAGTCACATGTAATGTTCTACTTTAAGAGTGGACAGCAAGAGAAAACATTTACAAAGATAAAATGGATAACATGCATGGTGTTTAGTTGTGTAATTATAGCAACTTTATCAGTGTTATCTTGTTCACAGCTGAAGCTGCTGTGCTGCTAAAACTATGAGAGATGTGGTCCCCTTTACTGCTTTATGATATTGATAATCTCTTTAGCTTATTTGAGCATGAAGGTAGCGGAGCAAAAATGGAAAAATGTCAAACCGAAAAGGGAAATTTGTTAAGTTTATACTGGGATCGTTCAATGGTTTGTTTGTTTTTTTTCTAGGGTTTCTTTCTTTTTCAAGCAAGCGGTGTGTTTTGTTTTTTTTTTCCTTTCGTGTTTTACTCTTTTTCTTTTTTCTTTTTTGACTACAGATACATTGATCAGTTAGTCTTGATGCCAAAATAGAGACCTTGTCTTTAGTCAGTTACTAAATCCAATACCTGCGTTACTTTAATAAGCTCTGTTACGAAGAGCACCAGATATGACATAACATTGCTTTTCTAGCTAACTGAAATGAAAAGTAAAATGTATCGATTAAAATTTACTTAGTTGTGCGTTATTAGAAGGATAAATGTCAATGGGACCTCTGCCCTCTCCCACTAAAACTCAAAAGGGGGTCAAATAAAAAGGTGGGGAGGAGGGAAGTGAGTGCTTAAAGTATTTGTATGCTTTCATGTCCGTCAGATGAGACATGTGTTTTTGTCATTTTTAATCGTAATTATTTTGCCTCCCCTGTTAGTTTCTCTTCCCGTGAGCCCATCCTCACACATGGAGTTGAGAAAACGGGTGAAGGAAAATGTTACTCACTTTGGGTACAACTCATGCCACTTTCCTATTGTCAACTCATTTGACCAGTGTCAGCTGGATCACAGCTAAGCCACAGACTGGTGCAAGCACACAAAACTTGTTGGTGTAGTAAGCAAGAAATGACTCCATACTGCCAGCCCTTATTTCATCTTAATTGTGCGTTTCCTCTTTGGCAAATGGATTACATCCAAAATATGGGCGTATCAAGGTGGAGACAGTATTTAAATTTACATAAGCATACTCTGTATTGGAAATTACACCCACCCGTCTCCAAATGCTTGTTGATTTTCTATTTGTTGAGCAAATCTAGGGACAGTTGTTTTATTCAGTGTCATCTTTAAGTTTGCCTTCAATGAACTATACTGAACCCCAAGTGTGTGTGACACAAGGGTGGGGATTGTTGCTTTTGGGATTCTCCATCAGTTGGCTGGTGAGTGGATTATTCAGACAGAGCATATCAGAAGAATAATGAATGGCGAAAAGGCAAGCGGATACTGGTAACAAAGATCCACAATGCTTAACATCTGTCATCATTGTTGGGCCACAAAGCACCCACGTAGCAGTGTTGAGCTGGAACCTAATTTAAATTAGCCTCTTAATTATTTTTTAATGGTGTGCACTGGCATTATATAGATGCATCTATTGACATGATTTTGCATTTTATTTTTCAGAACTGCTGTGATTGGAAAAACACGTGTAGCTTGCTAAAAACCCAAATGCGCTGCCTGGAGGTTACCACTTAGTATCTATGAGCTTGGATAGATTTAAATATAACTAAAATAACAAGAGGGGGGAAAAAAGCAAAAACATATATTTTTCATGAATATCTTTGTCTACACAATGTTTATGCTCAAATACGTAAGCTCGACTATTGGTGGAGGTGAATTTGCAGTATGTAGTTTAAATTAAATTTTATTGGGTATTTTGGCTTTCTCCTTCCTCGCTTGATGGCAAGACATCTGTTCAAAAATGAATTGAGAGCATAACTGCTCTTTTGTGGTCTCTGTAAGAAAGGGAAAACCTTTTAAATTTTATCCCAGGTGTTCGAAGTCTTAAAAACAGCATTTTAACCTGTGGTGATTTGTTCATTTTGAGTTATGTTTACACCCAGACTTGAAACTGAGCCACTTAATTGAGGACAGTAAACCTGAATTAATTGCTTACTGAAAAATAAAAAATGATAAATGGACATTTGAAGAAGATTCATCTAGGGTACATTGTCTTATATATGTCAGTTTGAGATGGACAACATTTGGTTTTATCTATTTTAATATCTGTTATCTGTATATAGAGTTATTGATATTTAGCTGTTGAGCTAGGCCACTCAGAATCTGCTCTGTTTCCAAGTAATCCTTTGGGCCAAATTACTGAATGATCTTACTACAAAGACCTGGCTCTTTCAATCTGAAGTGCTTCAGTTGTGCTCAGTTTTTGCTTCTTTTGTGACAGGTGGAGGTCCAAGGCAGTGAGCCATATCCCAGCAACCCAAACAACAGAAGTCATTACAGGCTTCAGGTAACTGTATTCTGAATAAATTTAGCCTGTTTTCATACTTTGAGTCTGTGCCACTTGGATATTTTTCACATACATTACGTAGTTGATATTTTGGTACCTGTAACGCTGCTAAGTTATCGAGCTTTTCCTCCTTAAAACCCACAGCTGTTTAGGTTGTCGTTTGCAAACAAGAGCCGTGGTTTTATGAAACTATTAAAATGTGTATTAAGTGGATGCCCACATTTAACAAGAGAAACTGGAAGGATCTATTGCAATGTGCCTATATTTTGTATGATGTAATTTCTGCTTTGTGTGTAACACGCTGTCCTTTCATGTTCTAGGAGCGCCAAGGACGAGTCAAGTAACAGTTGGTGCTTTGGTCAAAGACTGCAATGGCCCCCTTAAAGCCCTCTACCCCATTACGTCATTACATCCAGATCTCTTAAAGAAATTCTAATAGGGGTGAAGAATTAACAAAGGACAGAAACTAAATGAAGACTTTGATTTCTTTTGACTTTAAAGACTTACTTTGAACTTGTAGTAAAAAGAAAAGGAAACAATTATTCATAGGACTACAACTAAATGCATAGCATCCTTAGGTGATTTTTTTTTTTTTTGCCCTCCCCCATTCCACTACATATGCTTTCTCCCCTTGTATGCTGCTTTTTTTCCTTTTTGAAATGAATGGATCAGCTTGTTGGTTTTTTTTTTCTTTTTTTTTTTTTTCTTTTTTTTTTTTAAATGGTCCAAGAGCAGGTCTGTAATTCTCACACAAACACACAAATCAAATAGAAATTGTAGTGTTGACTAATAATAGTGTCCCAAAGTGGAAAAATGGGCTGTTTGTCTCATTTTCTTTGTAACCCCACCACCACCCCACCCCAATCTGTCTTTTGAGGATGCTCAAATGTTCAACTGGGACCCAGCAGAGTTTCCTCCTTGGTGGATTTTCATCGTAGGCGTATGCCAGCTACACTCACTCCAGAATCTCTCTACACGCTTACCATGTTTTTGTTTGAGAGGACTGCAAATGTTCAGAAGGCCCTTCATTTTGTTTTCCCAGTGTGTTGGATGGAGTGTGTGGGGTGGTAGGGTAGGGAGGATCTAGTAGGGGATGGAAGAGGTTTAAGAGTTCGAAAGTAAAAGAAATGTTAAGTTGATAAAACCTTGCCCACTGTATAATTTTTAAGGTCTTAAAAAAAGGGGCCCTCTGACAGTCTTTGGACCTAATTTACCCCCCCCCCTTTTTTTTTTTTTTTTTTTTTTTTTTTTTTTTTTCCTTCTTTCTATTGGACAAGTTGATTCGTTGTTGCTATGGGCTGCTTTTTGTTTCTCTCCTTCCTCCGTTTTCTAAAGACAGTGATGCGAGTGGTCTTGACCCACTCTTTCTATTAATCAGTTCAAAAGTAATAAATGTGGTATATTAAGCAGAACGGTGTGCATTCCCCTTGTTTGGAAAGCAGTTTTGTCATGCAGCATGTCTGTGTGGGTTTTCTTTTTTTTTTTTTTTTTTTTTTTTGTTTTGTTTTGTTGATTATTATCCCCTCCCCTCTCATATGGGTATCTGAATGTTTCTTCCTGCCATTCTTCATCCTCCAACACCCCCCCCCCCCCCCCCCCCCCCACTGTGCTGCCCTGCATTTCTTACCTCTACTTTCCAAACCCGCCTTTGTGCTACACACTCCCGGATTCCCGTTTCTGCTCAGCCAACCATACATACTATATCACAATCAGCTTCGACCATTTTCAGAATGTCATTGTTGGTGAGTAAAAAGCGCAAGGTCCTCTTTCAGAACTACTGGCTTTTATTTGTGGCATAATAAAGATGCTCCACGAAGTCATGTGTGGTTTCTCATTGGGCTTTGCTTCCCCCCCCCCTTTAGTACCTAGGTTGTTTATACAGACTTGTCTGTGTGCATTGTCTTTGTGCTGATAGCAGGCAGGAATGCCATTTGGGATGCACAGTAAGATTGTTTTTAGTGTTTTGTTTCATCTGTCGCTGGGCCAGACACCACTTGTATGGTCTACTGGCATAAAAGACTGCAGGTGTACAGTGCGCAACACATGATTTGCAGCTCATTGTAAAATGAGCCTGATCGTCTTTAGTTTCCGATTCTACGCACTCAAAGGGAGCAAAGAACCGGAAAAACTGGTTCCTCTTACCTTTTGATATGGCGGAAGTAGAGTGAGGAAATGTGATGTACAGCTGTTTAACGTACAGTCCGCCATTTTCTCACCTTTGCTGCTTGCACTGAACATACCAGACACAAGAGGGCGACACAGGACTATTTACTGACGCTTCAACATGATCAAGGACGAGGATTTTCAGCCTGGGTTCGATGGCGTTCCGAAACTGGCCTCAGCATCAAGGGCCTGCTGCGACTTTATTTGCTCTGAGATTCGTTGGTTTTATTCTTCCTGGCATATTTTTTTTTTTTTTTTTTTTTTTTAAATTCCTCCAAAAGTTACTGATAATAGAAATGGCACGTGCTCTTTAACCCTCATATTTTGTTTTTGTGAGACCTTAAACGCTGCCAACAGCTGGATAAAGATATGTAGTCTACAAAATTTCAAATGTATCTTTAAAATTGAAAAGCTGGTAGACAAAATTAAACAATTTAGCCTATTTCTGCACAGATAATGTAAACACTGCAAAAGAAAGTCGTCGGTTTTTAATGCAAAACGCGTCCAAAGAGCCGTTCAATATTTTTAGAGCTTATGCGGCTTTACATCAGTCTTGCAAACACTGAAAATGTGGTATGCTGTAATTGCGAAACACTATTACTACTTCTTTATTTGCAGCCATACACGTTACATTCATAACTGACTTAACATAGATTCCATAGTCTGTCAAAAGAATATACCTCATAACGCTTTTATTTAAAGGAAGGGGTCGTTGCTTCAGTTCAAGTCCTCTTTCTTGCACACTGCCTGGAAAGCTGTAAGGACCTGCTGGTGTTGGACAACATAACTACAATGTGCTCAGTGATGGGCTTAAAAATAATATATATATTATTAAAGTACACAATGTAACAGAGAGAGGCCTGAGAGGAAAATATGAGGCGACACGGGCGAGCATCCTTTTGCTCTTTGGGATGAAAGTGCGGGGTCTGTGTAAAAGAACTGTGTGTACAAAGATAGAAGTAGCCTGCGAGGATCTGTGTGTGTTTGCGTGTGTGAGTGTCGAGAGGGAGGTCGACGGCACGTGTCGTGTCTGCGTGGAGGGTGCGTGGCAAACATGCTGCCTCGAGGGGATCTCCCGTGACCCTTATCTGCGCGTCTCTGGGGACGCCTTTTAGCCCCTCCTGGGATGCAAATGAGCGGCCATAAAACAGAGGCAGATACTGCTACAGAGACGGTGGTGGAGGAGAAGAAAGGGAAATGGGACCAATGGAGGAGGAGGAGGTGGTGTGGAGGGGGGTCACCACTCACATCTCAGCGCGCGCATGAACCTAAATGCATGAAGGAGGTGGAGGCGAATATATATATATATATTATATATATATTTTTTTTTTTAAACCCAATGTAGATATGATGGCTGCGTGTGTTGGTGGAGGACTTCTTGTGTTTTTCCATGTGTAGAATTCGGCATATTGACTGAATTCACAAGAGGCACTTGAATTATTATCAGTTAAAGTCCCTTTCCTGACTTCTGTGATTCGGAAAAAAATCTAGCTGTTAATACAGCAGCACCACAAACAATCCAGTGGATCTGTCAGCTGATTAAAGAAATGGTCTGATGTAGGCCCGTGGCGGGTTATTTATTTCATATTTCAAACATTAGTCCCTGCAAATTTTTCACACAGGGGAAAAAAGATTATTAAATATTTTCTGTTGGGAAGTATTGTTTAGAGAGAGCTACTTGAATGCGTTGTGTCGGTGGGTTCATATTGCGCTACAAGGTCATGGATCTGCTTTATTTTCCCCTCATTATCATAAGGCATCCATCTCTTTCTTCCATTAGTGACGCTTCACCATGTCGCCAAACCGACCTCTATTTACATGACTAAATTAGATTTCGTGCATTTTGTTTCAGAAAGCCTGCCCATAGCTAAAAGTAAAAAATAGAAGCAGTCCTGAAAGAATAAGGCACTTAATATAACTAATATGTATATGGACTGATATTTTTCTAATAGAAAAGAATAATATATGCATACACTCTGTGTTCTTGGACCTCACTGGCTGCAATTTCAGTCACTTTATTATATTTTGCATCTAATTTTCAAAGTGGATTTTTTTAATCAGGAATTTTTCACTATGTATACCTATATATATCTATATATATAGATATAGATATCTATATATAGATATCTATATATATAGAGAGAGAGAGAGAGAGAGAGAGATAGATATATAAAGAACAGTCAATTCATGTTTTTTACCACATGATGGGGGGGTTTACACTCAGTCACCTGCTCTCCATTGCCAGGGGTTCCACACCGTTAATATATTGAGTGGTACCCCCTCATTTTGCCCATAGTCTTCCAATCGTATTGAGAGTTTTACAAAAAATGCATAATGTGTAGACAGCCATAGGGGCCTGAAAACAGTTGATGACCTCTGTCTTAACATATGTGGCACACTTGCCCTGTGCACGCTCTAATTATGTGCAGATGACAGTCAATAATGAATTGTTCTTCACCAGCATGTCAGCATAACGCATTTAGGCCTACAACAGATGCAGATTATTCTCGGGAAAGAAAACAAAAAAAGTCTTTTGTGTTTTTAATCTTCAAGTCTCTTCAAAATGTTGTCTTTTGGGGATGTTTTTATCCAGTTTTCCTATACTGAACACACTGAATCAAATTTTGAATATAAACTTTAATAATCGAATAGCATAGATATATAAATAAGTAAAATTAAACAAAATCAATTTATAAAAATATATATATATAATTTTTTTTTTTTTGCCTGTTCTGCTTCCATCATCCGAGATGTAGGTCAGCTCACATCTTTATTGCCTACAGCGATGTACAGCTTGAATCATCTGACACATCTCTGTGATTATAGGAGTAAAACCGAAGCTCGTCTTTTAAATTACTTTATTCGTTATGTTTTTTTATTTACTTCTTCTGAATTTTTCTCTTTTTTTTTTTGCTTTGAAAAGAAATACTAGATACTACAAATAGAAATGTTGTCCATGAAACGATGTCTTTATTGAGACTTTTTGCAGAACAAAAACACAAAGGTGTGACACAGAAACTGACAAACAAAACAAATATCATTCTAAATGAGCAAAAGTCATATAAAGTCAAGTGAAATCAAATTTTAAAAAGCCGTATTTTCAGACTATGAATAGCAACAGAAATCGGTTCAGTGGAAAAAGAATAAATCGGCATGCATGAGAATGGTGGAGGTGGTTGTTGTGTTTTATGATAGGCCTAAAAACAATAATTGTGTAGTAGCACATTATCCCCTTGTAGCATTTTCATCCTGTTTTTCATCTTTCTGTCAGATAGGGCAAGTGTACGCTCATGCGGAAATACACAGACCTTTGAAGTGGCTCTCTGTCACCACATGGCAAATCCCCCTAGTGTGATCCCTCTGTCCATTTGGCCAAAGGACCAACACTGGTAGGCTGCCTATGGCTCTGTCTGTCCTGACGTTATGGAAAACCAGTTTATTAGTATAGGCTTAGCCTGGCACCCAGTGATTGTGGTGTCCTTATTTCGCCTATTTTCCCTCAATGTCTAAAGAATATATGTTCTGTGGTTTGCATTAACTCATCTGTACACCTGTCTTAGGCCACTGTTTAGTAGCTCTGCCTAATGCCTACTTTCCTGATTCTCTTCCTAATCCCATAGGATGGTAACAAACACCCATCTGTGCAGTTACCAG